GGGGGGAAGGGTGGGTGCTTTGGCCTTTTTCTGCATACAGGAGGAAAGCGCATGGGCTAAGATTGTTGTATTGCATCACTGGGCTTAATGATGACTATAAGTTTTGGATGAAGCCTGCTCTTTTTCCGGTGAGATACCGCTCAGTGAAAAATGCAAATCTGAAAATGCACGCTATGCCGGAGGAAAACTATGAAACCAGCAAAATGCACTCGTTCTAGAGTTTGCAATAAAATTGTATTTGTTATGTCCACTCGAAGCGATTTTTGCCTTCAAGCTATGTTTGGATTTATACGTGGATGCAGAATATCCTTGCAAAGTTACAGCCTCGTATCACGTCCAGTCCGCGGAATAGGCGTTTCGCTACAAATATCCTTAAGCTGTAGTGCAAATGCAAATCAAAACTCTGTTTAGATATACTATTTCTCAGACGGACGATAAGTATTTCGACAAATTTTCAGTTACTGTTTTTCTTCTAGTTTTAGGGTTGACACGGTGACAGATCACGAAGCAGAAACAATTTCTGCTGTTAACGATTTGATTGCTGCAAGTTTAGCGCAAAAACCCATAGTTGCATCGGCAAGCCTAGTATGTTGCAGCCCGGGTTGGTAATTGCAAAAAACATAAAATGCACTGTGACGGCATTTGCAGGATTATTTGAGTTCAGACAAAATTTTCCAATTGAATTATATCGATTGATGTTACCATAATATCCATACTGTCGGTATGGAAGGTCTGGTATTATTAATGCTGTTACTGTGGATCAAATCTTATCAGAGAATTATGCACTAAGTGGAGTTTTTTGAATTAACATTTTAAATTTGACAGTCTTTTCGAGGCATTCGCCATTAGTTTGCTTCTGAAAAATTCACAGAAACAGAGCCATCGATCGCTTTGCCAACGGGTGGCTGCTGCTGCTGCCACACGCGGTGCTCGGAATACTTCCGATTGTCTCGTACTCCCTAAGAATGCGATGAAACCAAATGTTTTTGAATGTTTTGTCTCTGGGTAAACGAAACTCAATTTCTGTTGCGAAGCGGTTGACTCGAAAGAAGAATAGATAATCATCAGACTTCTCATTCCTAAAATTCGTACCCAGCACTCCGGTCA